TGCAATACGATAGCATAGCTATTTATAGATGCATGCGAAAAGAACAAAGAGAGAGAGAAAGAGATAAATGACGGACGGATCAGAATCCGTCAGACCTAGTTCAGACAAATTTGAATTTGCCATCTTGAAATGAATGAATTTGATTGGATTTCTCAAGATGCGGTCACTTATATGATAAAGAATAGATATTTGGAATATTACATCCAATATTCGGTAATGAAAATAGAATAAATAAAGCTTTACCAGAAATACTCAGAGATGATATACTAGCATCTACCAATCTATCAACAGTATTTATTTTATAAGCACTAGAGTATTTCTAATTTGTATATATTCTTGAATAAATAGTTACACCAATTAAGTTGTAATCGAATTAGTGAGAGAGAATTGCCAATATAAATAAAGACAAATATTTTCGATTGACCCGTATCTTCAGGAAAACATGTAATATAATCACATACAAATGAATACCGACACATAATGTACCGAAACTTATTATACTGGATATATTCCAATGACTAATATTATTTGTTCTAATTATAGCTAAAGATGTCTACAAAGAATATTCATATACAATATAAGTGAAACATTTTCATCTCAATTAAGAACACAATCAAACATGTATGACAAAATTTAGTCGATCAAAACAAAACATATATTACCTTTTCTCAAAATAATCTTATTATGTTTTTTATTTAATCTATCTAGAGAAGTTCGTATTTCAAGTAAAATATTTAAAAATAAAGAAATATATAGAAAGTATAGTTTTATCTCAATTATGTTTTCGAATACAATCGAAACTTTTCAAACATTTAAATTAATTATCAACAATCGTTATAGTTTTAAATACATTTACCTTGATGAAATTGTTCAAATATTATTTTCAATTAAATATCCATAATCTTATTTTACATCTGTATCGGCATTACTAGGAAGATTCAATAAACTTGTACTTTCCTTTCTTGAGGGTGTGATTGTGTCTACTTTTATGTTAGACCTAAATCCTCATACCCACATTCACGGCACCCTTTTTATGATATTCATAAGGAATATATACTGAGCGTAGATATGAGTGAGAGAGACACTGAATTACGAGCGATGGAACACTCACTCTCAACTTCAAGATGTCTAGATTAAATATTATCTTCAATTAGAAAAAGAGAATTTATCTCTTGATTTTATTTCAATCATGAATTATACTATAACATTTTTATATATACTTTAACAAAATATTTTGAGCGAAATGTAAAAATATATCAAAACAAGAGGAAGTATGCAATAGAAAATAAAAAAAAATATTGTTTATCTAGTTTTCAATAAGTTTATTAATTTTTACGTTTGTATATATGTTTGGCTTATGCTATCGTATTAAAAATGATCGAAAATTTTTTTACTGTCTGTTTTTATTACAATAAAATAAAAAAACATCGTTTTCATTTCAAAAAGATTTTTAATCATCATGAAAAAAAGATATTTATAAAGTTATGTAACGTTTTGAAGATCAAATACCAGACTTTTTTAAAAATGATCATTGATTACATTCCATTTAACATTAAATAAATGTAGAATTCTCAATTTTCTTTTCTTCTTCCCTTCTTTTGTTTTGGTTGCGCTAATTATTTCATCTGATCATATTTTGGATAGATATTGAAAGATTTCATGACAATTAATTATTTGTTAATGTATTTATCTTTTTAGCTAAGTACACGTGCTTATTGATGATATTGAAATGTTCTCTGATGTAATCTAATAGATAATGCTACACATACATATAAGTCATAGACTGTTATTTAATATTATGAAAAAGAACGAAGTTAGATAGAGAGAAAGTATAACAATGATAAAACAAATCTTTGGTGATTTTATTAAAGAAATATATCTAATGTTAAGGAAAAAAAGAAAAAGTAGTTGTTAAACAATGAATAAAAATTTTAAAAGTTGAAATATATATATATATTCATTTTAATATAATTCAAAATAATATTATTTAGTATGTGCATTTTATCTGAATAGAATATTTTCTTGATTATTCTAATAATCTGAAGTGAGAATATATATATTCTATGCTAATATTTGTTTGACGTTTGAATAAGTTATTTGGAATATCTAGTCTTGAAATAATTCAAATTTTGATATTTTCTAAACAATCAATGTTAAAATCATACAATACAAATGAAAAAGTCTTTACAAAATTCATGAATATATTTTGTTTTGAATAAGTTAAAACTGAAATATTTCAGTATTTAGTCAGAATAAACCAAGTATTAATCAACACAGCAGAATCTAAAACTCCCCTTGTTGGGAAAATAGCTCTCTTGTTTTATAATTTAACAGCTGAACAACAGAGAAAAATATATTTGCTTATTTTCATTGTACTATTATATTGATGCGTATATCAAAAACTCTTCAGTCGCTGTTTACCATATGACAATATAAAATATCATGCGTACTTTTTTTTATAAGAATGATTTTCGAGAGCATTTTCAAAATAAATACTGAATCACCTATTATAGTTGGATTCTTACTAACCATATGACTTTTAAACAAACTGCGTCACTAGGCAGTTTTATTCTTCTCCGTTAACTGCTGTATAAGACAAATGGCATATTATGATTTTCTCATTTTTTTAGACATCAACACTGGTCTATACACAACAAGTATATTTTGTTATAAAAACAAAGTTGAAGATACAAAGATTTTCTCGAAACAATGAAACAACATACAATTATTATTATTTTCACTATCATTGCTTTATCAGCAGTCGCAATATCACTTCTTGCTTATTTTATAAGTCATTCGAAAAAACATGAATTTGCACCAATTAGTACATTGAACACAACAACAATTTCTAATGGTTAGTTTGAATTTTGTTCATAATTCTATAAAGATTTATATATTGATTTAGGTAGTAATAATAGTCAAGTGACAAATAGTTTTACTACAAAAACAAGTAAATATTAGTAAATAAATTTGTAAAATCAGATAATTTACTTTTTTAGATCAATTCAACAATCCAACAACAAGTACATCATACGCAGTAAAAGACTCGACGTCAAGTATATCGACATGTAATTTAGTTTTTGTATGAGATAATTACTAATTCTTTGTTTCAGATACACTGATAACGGCCTCAACAAAGAATGCTCAAAGTATGTCTATTCATTATTTTATTTCACTGTTATTCTTTATTTTTATTTTGAGATACAGTACAATCCACTTTTCAAACAACAAATATAGATACTACAGGACAAAAGATAATAACGTCTGGTAATGGTAAGTCAGTTTTGTATAGAAGGAAAATGTTAGATTCAATATTTGTTTAATTTAGCTCAAACATCAATCTTCATAACAAGTATATCTCTAGTAATAAATAGAATGAATAATTTAGATAATATTTTTTATAAGGCACAATGAAATCTAGTCTTTATACAACGTTGGCGAGCAGTACGAAGCAAGATGTGGGAACAACTGATACAAATCAATTAACAATGACAAATAAGCAAGGTAGTTTTGGAGAGTATTATTGAAAACTTAATTATCATTAGATTTTTGCTTTTTAGATGGAATAATAAGTAAAACTATTTTGAAATAATAAAAAAAGAAATGAAAAAATATTATTTGTTAGGTACAAATCAGAACACTGCTGGAACAATAGGTATTGTAGAAACTATAACAGAGTTGATGAATATTACAATGGGTGATTTGTTTATAAAAAAAAATAGTTGTCTTTATAGTTGAACAACACAATAGTTTAGATTTCTTTCGAAGGATATCTCAATAATTCCAAGTATTTTTACTATGATTAACATATTGTAGGAGTAATAGTATAAATATCTAGATTCAAATGGTATTATTCATTTCAATAGAACGAAGTTTCCTAAATAAGAGGACTTAATATTCTAAGTTGTTTTTTTGTAATCTCTCTTTTAGGCCAAACAGCAGTTGTATCTTCCACATCACTTACAGGTATATCTAATAATTGAAATTTAATGAATATATGAAATATTTGTTTACTAGATTTAATCTTTTTATTGAGTCTGTATATAATATATCGCTTGATATAGTTTCCATCAAAATGACTAGGATAATGAGAACACAAGAGATGCTAAGTAAAACGACTTGTTTACATGAAGTGAAGTAAATCTAAATTTTAAGTACGTACTCCGGATACTTCGACAAATACTCAAAATAGGAGTATTGTAAATGTAGAAGGCGAAGTGCAAACGAGTAAATCTAGTGTGTATTTAAGTCATATATATGATATTTTATCAGTAGATTGAAATTTTAGTTTTATTCCTATATATAACATCTGAGGCTATTGGGAATTCATGCAGTTTTATTTTTGCTGACCATTTGTTTTACTTTATAGGTGTAACAACAACAACAGTGAAGGCAGATATGTCAACAAGTACGTATCTTATTTATACACATAACATAATAAAGCGGTAGTTATTGATTTTTAGCAATGGGAATAGCCAGTACGCAAGTTACAAATAATCCATCATTTATGCAAATCACTAGCACAATGATGAGTAAGTCATTGACAAAGATTATCATACACGATTTGTCTAACTAGAATTATCGATAATTTATTAAGAATCGTTCAGTCATTAATTTTAATATAATTTGGTGAAATGTTTATTTGTCATGTATACTAAGTGAATATATATATTATCTAAAAAGAGCATTATTTCAAGATATAAGATTTAACCTATGTTTCTTATGAGGAAGAAAAAGAAATGAATAAAATTATTTTATATTTACAGATAATCACGTTCAAACATCGACTTCTACTCAATCAGTCTTTTGGAATATGGATCAACCACTTAACATTGGACGATCTATCTTTGGAAGTGCATTATTAGCAAATGGACAAGTTCTTGTAGCTGGAGGTTATACTAATACTAGTTCAGGAATTTCACAGACTGAAGTTTATACATCAACCGGATGGCAATTTGCAACTTCGATGAATGCACCACGTTCTAATCACACTGTTACTGCTTTTGCAAATAATACTAAAGTATTAGCCGTTGGTGGTAACAGTACATCCGGTTTCCAAACTGCCGAAGTATATGACATTGTAAACAATACATGGATATTTACATCAACCAATATGTCAAGTCCTCGTATCAGACACACAGCTACACTACTCGGAAATGGACAAATACTCATTGCAGGTGGATCGAACGTTTTAGGTATAAGTATATCTGCAGCCGAGCTTTATATTCCATCATCAAACTCATTTATTAACACAACTAATATGAATACAGAACGACGTTCTTTTACAAGTACACTTCTTAGTGATAGATCAACTGTACTTGTTACAGCAGGTGCTAATGCTGCTGGTACTCTCCTTAAAACAGCAGAGCTCTATATTAATGGCTCTTGGATTCTTCTACCCAGTATTATGACTCAACATAGGTCTCATCATGCTGCTGTATTATTAAATGATGGAACTGTATTAATTGCAGGTGGTGGTAGCAGTACACCAAATGCGTATTCAAATGCTGAGATTTATGATCCAACAACACAACAATTTACAGCTGTTGGATCAATGCAGTATCGTCGAGCAGCATTAACACTTACACTTCTACCATCAGGTAAAGTATTAGCAACTGGTGGCGGTGATTGGACAGCAGGTGCATATCCACTCGTATGTGAATTATATGATCCTGTAACAAGAACTTGGTCAAATACTACTATGTTGAATTATGGCAGAAGTTATCATCAAACAGTTTTACTAAATAATTATGTATTAACTACTGGTGGTTATGATGGAAACAATAGAATTGCTACTTCTGAAAAATACAATTTATGACACATTATAATCAATATTAACTCAGCTGCGATAACATAATATTTTTTCTTTTTCAAATCAAAATAATGTATCTCATCAACTTCATTCAATTCAATAAATAAAAATCTAATATTTTAAATCTGTATTTATTCTTAAGATGTGTTGTATACATAATAATCAGATAGTTATGATTTATATGTAAATTTTTCCAAAAGTGATCATCTACACGTATAATATAACATGTAGTGCACATTTAACTGAATAAAACTATAATGACACACTGTTTCATTCCACGAAGAAATTCTACCAATGAAAATTTAGACAATTTGAAGTGAAAGATCCATTTTTGTATAAAACATGTTAGTTTTATAATTAAGAACAAAACTACTTCATATTCATGTTTATCAAAGACTTGAAATAAATAATATTTTTATTGTGCAGTATACTTACCAAATGAAATAAATTGAAATATTTTAATTCAAATGTTGATTAATATTCTATTAGTAGGTTTTGTTTTACTTTATTAACACGTCATCTAAACAGATATTTCAATTGATGTGATTACTGTTGGTAGATTTGTAGTGCGCTATTGTTTATAGAAATAAAATTTGATTTTAGTTTTAGCCAATTTGGAATTTTATCTCGATGGTTACTAAACAGCTGTAAGGCCTGCTTTCGTTTATTCCAAAAGAAAACATGATAAGAGAGAAACACTGGAATAACAAAAAAAAAAAGTTATATTGTATCTTCCAGCTGTCTTTATAAATGAGCTGAGCATTTTTATCGTGTTGTTTGTATGAGTTGTGCAAAGTCAGTGAATATTAGAATATCATAGTTGAGTTATGAATAGTCAGTGAATAATAAAATATCATAGTTCAGTTATTAAAAGTCCGTGCATAGTGCATTCTATAAATGACTTCTAAAAGGTCAGGGAATATTATCATGATCTAATTAAGCAAAGTTATACATGTGATTTGTCGAAAAATATTTAATAAAATTAGCAATTTGTTTTCGTGGTGTCTACTGAATAGTGTTAAGTAATAAACTTATGTTAGAAGTTATTTAAATAATTTAGACTATATTCATATATACAAAGAAACAGCAGAAGATCAGATTTTAGTTTATGACGGTTGTAATTTCCAATTAATTTTCGAATGATATAGTCTATTGAAATTTCATTCGAGTATTTGATTTCTAACCAATACCGATTTACTATACGGTTTCAATCGGTCTTGGATTCATGTATCCGTAGATTGGTTTGCATGAAAAAGTATTAAGGATGTCGCATTGCAGAGTGTATCAGAATTTAGTCTAACTTGTATAATATCTATTATTATTGATAAGAGGAATCGTAAAAAATCATCAACGCTGAGTTTTCAAAAGAAAGAGAAGAAAATATTTTTTCCATTTATTTTACTTACAGTTGTATCAAAGAAAAAAAAACGAATGAAACTGTTGGTTTTGACGTTTTTTACTCATGAATGCAATTTGAGATGATATAAATGACTTCTGAAATGAATTTATCGTTGATTAACACTGAGAAAACAACAAATTGTTGATCTTATGTTCATGTTCCACCAAAGCAGACGCATGATTCTTCTCAGTTAGATCATATAATATTCACTGACTTTCAAAACTCATTTGCACAATATCATAGAAATACTCAGATCATTTTCAAAGACAGTTGTTAGATACGATTCAGTTTATTTGCTGATCTTTGAGTGTTTATCTATTATATCATACTTTTTCTTGCAATAGATGGAAGCACGCCTTACAGCTGTTCCGAAGAAAAATGTTAAAAGTCAGTATCCTGGTTTTCTATCAACAAGATGTCATTGAAGTTCTGAAATAATTCCAATATTTATGATTCCACCATTCAGTGAAAATATATTCTTTAAAATTAATACCGATTATTAGATATATTCAATAGCATTTCATCACAATGCCAGAAATCTATGTCTTCTACTAAGAATAAGACATTACAACTTTTACATGCAGGTTTTTAATTTTCTCCAGCGATGTTGAATGTTATTTAGAAAAAAATTAAAATTTTAATATTCCTGCATCTGATTATTACCACGATCAGCTATTAGCTGCGATCCGTCTTGAAATAATATTTTATTCTTAATGACAACGTCAAAGACCCTATAAAAACACCTATAGAATATTTTGATTCATATTTTATGTAGAGTATCGGATCATATATGACTTATATTTCACTTTTCTTCAACCAGTTAATTAAGTTTAGTTCACTAGTTTTTCTCATCCCTAATGTATCGATCGGCACAATACTCTTACATGATATTATTCCAAGGGGGAAAATGCAAACTTTAAAGCATAAAGTGCCATAAAGTACTATAAAGTATCAAAATAGTCTTAAGTAGGTAGAAGTAGCAGAAAGTAGCGCAAATTAGCTCGATATAGCTCGAAGCATGTGAATAATTCAAAATAGCTCAAAGTACAAAAGTAGCCCAAAGTAAAAAAGTGGTCCGAAATAGATCGAAGTAGTTCAAAGTATATAGAATTAACTTGAAGTACAAAGTAGTGCAAGGTACAAAAATAGCTCAAAATATGTAATAGAAGTACATGGCGCTTCAAACTAACTCGAAGTAGTCAAAAGTAGCCTAAAGTACCTCAAAGTACCTCAAAGTACCTCAAGGTAGCGTAAAGTAGCACAAAGTAGCGTAAAGTGGCCTAAAGTCGATTAAAGTAGCGTGAAGTCGATTAAAGTGGCTTAAAGTAGCTTAAAAGTAGCGTAAAGTAGCTGAAAAGTAGCGTAAAGTAACTTAAAGTAGCGTAAAGTAGCATAAAGTAGTGCAAAGTAGCTCAAATTCACTTGAAGTGCAAAAGTCTGCATTTTCCCCCTTGTATTATTCTCACACAATGTCATACTCATTGATCAATATTGTGAATATGAGAGATGCGTTTTACATGAGAAATTCTCATATCTATATTGTGCATATGCATTTCCTTCTCCTTCTCCTTCTTCTTTTTTTGCTTTCTCTCTCCTCCATGTTGTTTTATATAATATTGTGCTGTGTGTGACACGATGGAGGGTGTTTGTGTAATTGCAAAGACGAATGAGAGATAAAAACATAATCCATATTCTCAAGATGCTTCACACACCACATATTTCCTAGGAGTTGTCATTTTCATCATGTTCAAAAAAAGATATTTCCAAAATTCATCAGTCATTCATAAGCATCGCTCAAGTTTATATAAAATAATTTTACAACAAATAATATTATAAAGTTCAAAATTGTATTATGAGCTAATCTATGGTAAAAATCGTCATATTTGAAAGCACATGGTACCACATCAACTACAAATATAATCATATCTTGTTCGTGAAATATATTTGAGATAAATCTAGTTTTATCATTAATATCAAAATAAATAGTTTTTCATTGTTCTTAATCAAAAATAATCAAAATAATTATTTGTAATCAATTGAATAGATTTCATCTAAATTCGAAAGTCGATATATATCGAATGATTTATTGAATATAATATTAAAAATTGTTCACATATAAAATAATGGATCTATGACAATTTTTCTGAAAAAAGTAAAATATTCATTTCGTTTTCCTTTTACTACCTCATCAGTTTTGAAATATCTCAATATCTTCAGTAAATAAATTGTCTCCAGTGTGTTAAACTGACTTATAATATTGTTGCTTATATTATTCTATTACAAATTGAACTATGCTTCTGGTTATAAAACGAACATTTTAAATAATACACATAATTACAGAAATTTTATCTACATCAATCACATATTTGAGAGAAAAAGCATCATGAATTTTAAAAACACAACAGAATAATCTATCATTTAATAAAATGTAATTGAAGAAATCTAAACGAAGAAAAAGTAATTGCTGTAAAATTAAATTCACACACAAATCCTATATAGGGAAGATGTTTATCACTATTTACTGCAATAACTTTAAGAATTGATCCTTGATATCAAGTGTATAATATTCTAAGTACAATTCCGATAACTCCAATTAAACTACATAGAATTGCAGCAATACTAACTGGTAATGTTTTCCGATTATTTCGAAAAGCAAAATCATAATTTTGGTATGAATAAGATCGAAATATGAAATGCTCTTCAGATATAATAACAGTAAATGACGTTAATGCATTTTTGAAGTTGCTAGCAGCAACAATATCTACTATTCGATAGATGATATACTAGCATCTAGTAATTTATCAACAATATTTATTTCATAAGCACGAGAGTATATTTCTAATTTGTATATGTTCCTGAATAAATAGTTACACCAAGTAAATTGTAATCGAATTAGTGAGAGAAAATTGCCAATACAAATAAAGACAAATATTTTTGATTGGTCCGTATCTTCAGGAAAATATATAATATAATCACCTACAAATGAATACCAACACATAATGTATCGAAGCTTATTATACTAGAAATATTCCAGTTACTAATATTATTTGTTCTAATTATAGTTAAAGATGTTTACAAAGAATATTCATATACAATATAAGTGAAACATTTTCATCTCAATTAAGAACACCTATGACAAAATTTAGTCGATCAGAACAAAACATAGTACCTTCTCTCGAAATAGTCTTATTATATTTTCTATTTAATCTATCTAGCGAAGTCCGTATTTCAAGTAAAATATTTAAAAATAAAGAAATATATGGAAACCATAGTTTTATCTCAATTATGTTTTCGAATACAATAGAAAGTTGTCAAATATTTGAAATAATTATCAAAAATCATTATATTTTTAAATAGCTTTGCCTTGATCAATTTGTTCAAATATCATTTTTAATTAAATATCCATAATCTTATTTTACATCTGTATCGGCATTACTAGGAAGATTCAATAAACTTGTATTTTTCTTTCTTGTTATCTTTACTAACTTACTTTTGAACAGGTAAAACCCTAAATTAAATTTTATCATTTATAAAAAAAAAGCCTTTCTTATTTTACTAGAATATTTCTTTTCAAAGCTCTTTGTCATAAGAAAAAAGTCATTTATAG